CTGCTGCTTTCAAAAGCTCAAAAAATAAATATATACATATATATACATTCCAATATCAAGCAGCCATAATTCAGTGTTTTTATGACAAGATTCACAAAACACAGGTCCTGATGAAGTAGATGCAGATGTGAAGAGGTCTTACCTACACACATCCTGCGGTTTGGTGTTACTGTAAATCCTGTGTGGCACATGCACTCATACCCTCCTGGAATATCCACACAGTCACCATGACGACACACACTGGGTGTCTCCAAGCACTCATTACGGTCTGAAAACCAGTGTTCATGGCAACAGAAATATAGTCTTGTGAAATTCAGATCAACAGGGTTTATTACTTGGTTAATCTAAGCTGTAAAACATTTGAGGTCAGATTTGACAAAAATTGCAAATTTGCAAGACATGGCAACACTAATAAATGTGTGGATACAATCTGTGATCTACCTACAATGCACACATTAACAAGAATTAATTTACATTTCAAAAATTACAATCAGATGTGTTCACACACAAAATACATAAGTAAAGCATAAATATGCTAAAATGCATATACAATAAGGTCAGCTGCAAAAAGAACTATGTCCATCCTTTTTCACTAATAACATTTAATACGCTGTGTTGGCATTTCTGTGTGGATTTTGCATGTTCTCGTGTTCGCCTGGGTTTCCTCCGGGTGCTCCAGTTTCCCCCACAGTCCAAAGACATGCGCTATAGGTGAATTAAATAAGCTAAATTGGCCATAGTGTATATATGTGAATGAGAGAGTGTATAGGTGTTTCCTAGTGCCGGGTTGCAGCTAGAAGGGCATCCACTGTGTAAAACATATGCTGGATAAGTTGGGAGTTCATTCTGCTGTAGTGACCCCTGATTAATGAAGGGACTAAGCCGAAAAGAAAATGAATGAATGACACTGTGTTGGGCTGGGCTATTAAACAAAATAAAATGGCAAACATGATTGATCATATCTGTGATTGCCATCTGCATCTTGTCAGGGAAGCATGGTTGTATGTTCAGTAGTAAATCTTCTCCGAAAGCCAGAAAGTTCTCTTGTGCAAGAGAAGTACAAAAACGAAGCAGAGGCATATTCATTCACCGAAATTATATTCCATACAAAATATGAAGCTGATCAGTCGGTTCTTATCACATGACTGTGTGACGGTGTGGCATTCTGAAAAGTTAAGATGTTTTCAACTGAGGACGCCTGGAAAACGCAAGCGCTTCGTGCTGCAGTTCTTACTAATTTTGCTAGCCTGTGGGTTAAATTTTGGCCCTCAAGTGACCGAGATGTAACAAGAGAACATGGTCATTTTTCAAAATAAAACATTTTAAAAAATAAATGATTGTTTAGACTCAGATTACAAATAAAACTGAAATAATTAATGATTTTTGTGTGGTCTGGTACCAGTTGATCTATAGACCGGTTCCCGTCTGTGGCCCAAGGGTTAGGGACCACTGCTCTAGCACATACAGTATCTGCTCTGCAAGCACCACAAATCTCTTTCTCTAGTTCTATGCCAATTAATATTTCATTGGTGTTTTTGTACAAATCAAATGATTAAAATTGTATTCATTTTTTTTTGTTACTCAGTGATTCCTCCGTGTACTACTAGAAGCATGCACGCATACCACTAGTGGTACACGTACCACAGTTTGAGAATCACTGATTTAACAGATTAATTTATTGTACACACTTGACTAAAGTTACAAAGTGTAAGTGTATGTACATAGCCTAGACCAGGGGTCACCAATCTCGCTCCTGGAGTTCCGGTGCCCTGCAGGGTTTAGCTCCAACTTGCCTCAACACACCTGCCTGGGTGTTTTTCAAGTATACCTAGTAAGACCTTGATTAGCGAGTTCAGGTGTGTCAACTTACCATTACAGTCTCCATTAGGTGTGAGTATATACCCATCAGAACATTCACACTGATAACCGCCTGGACGGTTGATGCAGTCTGCATTTCTCTGACACACAGGCTCTCTGCTGCTGCATTCATCAATGTCTGAACACATAAAAAAAGCGCTAAACATGCTTAATAATTGCTTTGATATGTGTTAGCATTATGTGTTAAAGGTGCAGTAGGTGATTGTCTTCAGAAACAATTTTTGTTGTGCTGGTTAACCAGTTAAACTCTGCTGTTATTTTGGGATTTCTGCCTGGATTTTGCCTACCCAAATATAAAAGCTTCCCAAATCCACATGCAAAAGTGTAAATGCAAACATTTGGTATCATTTTAAAGAAAACCCTTTGAATTTTCATAAAACACTATTAAAAGTGTTTAAAATATCTGTATATGTTGTCTATGTTATAATAAACACCTAAAAAAAGAGGCGCTTTTGTATATATATATATTTTTATAAACTCAAGTTTGAAAGTGTTCCTTTTAGGTTCTGTGTGGTCTAGCGTGCTGTAATTTATTTTGGTGGTTCCTGCACATGTGTGTAATCATAGGAAAAAAGAAAAATGTCTCTAACATAATCTATGCAAAAGTTATTGTATTCCAACTGATGAGAGGTGCTTTACAAGCCACAGGGACTGATCATTGTTTTCATATTTCACTATTCTTTTGTTTGATCAGACATAATTCACTGTGTTTGGACCACGTCAGACATATAAAAGGATTACTTATGCACATCACCTCAAAAACAGAGGAGAAATAGCCCTGAAGCGCACAGCATAAGGTAAGAGATGACAGCTGTCTGTGCTATCTGGGGCTGCTTAGTGATCATAAATGTATTGTTTTCACTTTTGCGCCATGGAAACACTGTGATTCATTCGACAACTGTTTGATATGTGAATTTAATTCAGTAAAAAGAATGCTAGAACCGTATGAGCACCAGCAATAGCTTTCATTTGAGCTATAACTTGTACATGTGTCATATGAATGACCAATGTAAAATACCCAGCTCTGGTATCCAAAATACTGTGTATTTAAGTGTAAATACATTTTGTACAGTAGAATAAAAACCAAAGTGATGCATATGTGCATAAAATATAGATTCTACGCTTTCAAACGAAACCACTAACGGGGTCTGGTGTAATGCTAGCTCTTTAAATCTTAAAGTGAAAGTCGATGACGTCACGTTGACCCGATACCGGGTCCGCGGAGTTTAACTGGCTAAAAGTCTCTTCACATTCCAATAGTTTTTATTAAAGTAAATGATCTAAATGTATTTATATGTATTTTTATATTCTGGGTAAAGCATAAAACAAAAAAAATGTTCATCTAATTAAATAGTGTCAGGCAAACATCTACCATAATTCTGATAAGTAGCTCAAACTTTCTGTCAGCAAGTGCAGATCTGAACTACTGTGCAGCCGTTTGTACATACACGCGCTGTGCGTTCATGAGAGAGAGAGAGAAAGAGAGAGAAAGTGAGTGAGCGGTAAAAACATGCAGTATAAAAACATTTTTTAATAACTTAATTAATATTGATGTGACATTTTAGGGACATTTTAAAGGGACATTTTAAAGCATCGATAATGTAGATATTTATTTAGTTTAACAACATAACGTCAGAAATAGCTCAATTTCGCCTAACCTGCTTTACTGAGGTAAAGTTTGTTTTATATTCACATAACATTGGTTAATTTCTGAACAATGACAGCCTGTTACGCGCTCCCTATATTGTTTAACATGCTACTCTGAATATTCGGTCTGAAATAGCATGCAAGTATGGCTTAGTAATGAGTGTAACTCCTGCACACTGCCAGACAAGCACTAGTCGCTTTAACTCAACACAAGTGAAAGGCGTCTGCTGTCATATTTAAAGTGCACATGGTCGTGTTTCAGGAGGCGTGGCTCTGGATGGCAGGGGAGGGACTGTGGTTCAGAGATTGATAATAACCGGTTAGCATTGTGGAAGATCACCTACTGCACCTTTAAATAGCAAATATGAACAGCATATAAAATAGCAAACCACAATTCTGGCATATTAAATTTAGTAATTCAAACTTTTATATCAACTACACATTTTGTTTCTTTGAATTGGAATTTTCCTTCAATCTCCAAGAAAATATGCAGCTCAGTCATATTAAGACACAACTTTATCCACACATATACGACATTCACAACTATATCAGTCTTTGATTTCTTCCAAAGATGGTATTTAAAGGGTCCTAGAACTGAGCCTTGTGGCATTCCATACCAAAAGTGTGATCAGTATGATGTGTATATATGATATGACTGGAATTGTACATGTATTAAAGACTTAAGAATGGTGGAACTGCTTAAGAATCTTGACGGTGAAAATGTTTTTTTTAGATTATCCTGTGTTTGCTGAGGGCCAAAAAGGCTGTGAATGACACACCAGAAATTGTGTTCTACATGAATGATCAACAATACATTATCTTGGGCTTTAGTCCAGGTATTTAAATCAACTAAGTAGCTATCAAATATTTAACTGGACCATCCTTTGCATTTAAAAATGCATGCATTCAACATGAACTGATGGTAATGCCATTTCTTAAATGCTGTCAAGTCAAGATACTGCAAAAGACAAGCAAATTTGCCTTCCTAGCATGTTTACACAAAAATGCAGCACAGTGTAATGCAAAAACATGTTGTGATTGAGCAAACCCCTATAGAGAAAATAGCCATCACACCTTCACAGATGAGCAGCAGGTCATTATAAAGAAAGCCAGTGGGACACTCGCAGTGGAAACTGCCCATGTGGTTTATACACACACCATGAGCACAAACTCCCAGGATTTCATGACATTCGTCAATATCTAGAAAAAATCAAAACCATTAAATATGAAGTAAAACAATTCCAACTATTTCAATTGAAATTTCACTGTGCGGCAAATTTGTTGTTACCTTTTGGCTTTCCAGTTGCAATGTCGATCCAGAATCCAGTCACACTGCCACAAAGACTGCTGTAGTCATCTAAAAAAACAGGGTACATTATGCACTGCAGTATGCATTTTTTTGCAGTGGGAGTTACATGATTGTATTCTATTGATGATTCAATTCTATTGATAGTGAGCACTTTTGTGTCCTCCGTTCCTCGTATTTTAATTTACTGCACCTCACAATTTTGCAGGAGCTGAATGAGCAGAAGAATCAGGTTATAAACGACCTGAGATACATCCAAAATGTCCTCAAAACACATAACTTTCCACAAATCGACTGAAAAAGTGATGACTTTTGCTGCTGCTGAATGTGAGTTCTAAAGCCAGATACAAAAGAAAAGATATTAAAGGTAAAAACCGAACATAACATAATCTAATAATGAACTAAAACAGCATGAAAAACTTAGTAGCCTATTAAACACATTAACATGTCCCATATATTAATCATACACAGTTGAAGTCAGAATTATTAGCCCCCCTGTTTCCAATTTCTGTTTAACGGAAAGGGGATTTTTTTTTCAGTAACTAATTTCTAATAACTGATTTAACAGAAGTGACATTTAAAGGCTAGGTTAATTAGGTTAACTAGGCAGGTTAGGGTAATTAGGCAAGTTATTGTATAACAATGGTTTGTTCTGTAGACTATCGGAAAAAAAATAGCTTAAAGGGGCTAATAATTTTGACCTTAAAATGTTTTTTAAAAATTAAAAACTCCTTTCATTCTAGCCAAAATAAATCAAATAAGACTTTCTTCAGAAGAAAAAAATATTATCAGACATACTGTGAAAATTTCTTTGCTCTGTTAAACATCATTTGGGAAATATTTGAGAAAGAAAAAAAGGCGTGCTAATAATTCTGACTTCAACTGTCTATATTTTTTACCGACACATTGTGTATGCGCAAACGGGGTTATATTTCGAGTGTATGAACACCACATATTCCATATACACATACTGACTGTCGCTTCACCATTACTGAAACTACTGGTTTCCATCTATAAAATAAATGAGAGAATTGTGCTTTGTGCATCCTGTCTGAAGATGTTTCTGGAAGTGGAGCTGCTGCCCAATCTACAACTGGCCACTAGGAATTCTGCAGTTGTCAGATAGGCGCAATACAGTGTTTGCAGGCTGTGGTTGCATGCTTTTTTTACATTGCAAAATAAAAAAAAGGAGGAAAAAATGTAGCACACATCTCCATCCTTTATTTTAGTGTATTTACTATCAAACAAAATGTCCTATCTTTAATATACAATAATGATTGAGATGTAGTGGTGGCATGAGAGTCCTTTGTCTTGCGCTGGCCCTGAACACTCATATTAGACAAACATTTAAAAACAAATCTCCTCTAATGGATGTCAAAGTTTTCATAACATCATCTATATCGGATATGAAAACTATACTGGAGGACTAGACTATTAGAAACTATATGTAGGGACATTTGGGAAAGTATTTTTATCTTCAACCATTAGTGATTTGAGTGAGCTTGAATTTCTATTATTACTGAATCTTTTTAAATGTTTTCTCTGACAATAGAACACACAGAGAGTATACCTAACAAAATGGAAATAAAACTGCACTGGATGAAATTTTTCGCCACAAACCACTGAAACAAAGTTATATTTTTTGAGAGGTAACTGTAAAAAAAAGTACTAATGCTGTGATAAGCTAATACTAAGTGGCCAATTTCACCCGATTCTTTTTCTGATTTATAAACAAGAAAATATGAAAATATATTTAAATATGCCAAGTCTTTTTAATTCTATAATACTTAAATGCATAAATAAACATCCAGTGAGTGAGTCCAAATCCACTTTGGCTATTTTAAGGATGAAAAAATACGATTTGCGCCCTCGCGCATGGTCTGAAAGGGTTAGGCTTAATGAGTTAAGGGTGTGTTTTGAGAATAAACCAATCAGAGTCTCATCTCCCATTCCCATTAGGAGTCAGTTCTGTCGTGCCCTGGCGCATTTGCTATTTACATGGCAGACTTGGTAAACCTGAATGCTTCACTAGTGAGAAAACAGTTAAACAGACCTTATGCATCTTTACTTTACTCCTTTACTTTCGTGGATAAGGAAATGGTGTTGTACTCACTCCACTGTAGACATCTATAGCCTACATATTTAATTTCGGTTGCTAAGCACAAAGATTTGTTTTAAAACTATTTCTAAATTCAGTTTTAACTTCCAGCAAATTTTAATCCAAACATACATCCTATTCTTATGCCCCATAAGATGATACATAAGTCTCCAAAGCCCGACACGTGGACAAATCTAAACTTGTTTTTACTAAAACAAATATAAATTTGCATATGAAGAGTTCAGATGCAAAACCCTCTAAATCCATCAAACCTCTTTTCTTGTAAATGAGCATTTTCTATTAGGTTCCTCTCATATAATATAATAAGGTTATTAGCTAGTAAATAAAATAACTTTTTTTTCATAAATGTCACTTTAGACAATTGTTTGTTTTTTAACAAGGTATATTTTCTTTTGCGTCAAAAACAGCTGAATCCACTTGTGCTTTTTTTGCAAAAACCTCTAAATCCACCAATTGAGACAAGAGTGTATTCAGTTAAAAATCACTAAAGATGCAATTAGAGATTATTTTACCAAACATAAAACACAAACCACCTAAAATTAAAAATACAGAAATCTGCCAAGTAAGTGGTGATTCATTCCACTGTGGCAACAGTCCACTGTGGCCCATTTAATGTACATAGAACAATGTAAACATTGCAAACTAATCTTGTTAGATTCAAATAATGTAGCGAGTGTAAAATGTACAGTGCAAAATATTCTGATTAAAATAAAGTGAATAAAAACCTATTTCCCTTGTTATCATTTGCTATGTGCAAAATGTAAATAAAAATAATATCAATTCAAATATTTTGGTGTACTGCTAGTAGAACAAAGTAAAACATTGAGAAAAATCAATGTCCATTTATATAAAAGCTTATCAGACATATAGTATAAAGTAATATTAATAATGTATAGTTTTATACATTGTGTTAATCTTTAAAAAATAGCTTACATTAGCAAATAAAACACAAAGTAGGACTACTGTGCAAACAAAGGAGTCTCTGAGTGTCTCTCAGACACTTTTAAAAGCTGTCATTCTTTCATCCTCACCATACTCAAGGTCTTGAACGTCTCTTTTTCATCTCTTCTAGTTCTATTTATATCATGTCATAGCATATATTGTGAACTGAACAGCATGCTGTTTAACTTTCATCTTGCATGAAATAGAGTTGGCGTTTAATATATAGAAAACTGGACTCAAAGTAAAATTGATGCACAAAAAAAAAAAAAAAAAAAACGCTATGAATGCATTGTTACACTACCGACTGTAGGTACAGTGTGTTTTCTTTTTCTTATAATGCAGAGTTTTGAGCTAAGGGACATTTTCATTTGCCATTCAATTACAGTCGGCAGGCTCATGCACTACATCGAACTTCATCTTTTAAAATCTAAATCGGAATTGGAATAACACAGTCTCCTCATAAAAGCAGTTGTATCAGCGCGCTGCTATATTGAAAACACATGATTCCATTTGCAATTTCAATTTCTTGGTTTCTGTAACATTTATTTCATGTTTTAGGATAAATATATTTTCTTGTTCAAATTAAGCATGCAAGGCTGAGCTAAATATTTTTTTATAGTGCAGCTTTTAATTTTATCTAATTAATATTTTAATATTTATAAAATATTATGCTTTATATGAATTACTGAATTATATTTATTGAATTATATGCCCCATGAATTAAATTAAGTATTTGCTCTTCAAGGCTTAATAATAGTTATAAATTTAAAGACTTTAAAAGAAACAGACGATGAGCAAATGAGTTTAATAAACACTGAAAAGTGTTTCACTGACTATGTGTAAACAAATAAATATATTTCACATTTAATTTATAATTTTTTTATTATTCAGTTCTTTTTAAACAATGTAAAATTTAACATTTCATCTCAATGTCGGTGTCGGTGACATACACAATTGCCTCACAATAAGAAAGTCGCTGGTTCGAGCCTTAGCTGGGTTAGTTGGCATTTCTGTGTGGAGTTTGCATTTTCTCCCCGTGTTGGGTCCAAATATAAGTCCAAATGCGTGCGGTACAGGTGAATTGGGTAAGCTAAAATTGGCCATTGTGTATGTGTGTGATTGAGTGTGTATGGGTGTTTTCCTAGAGATGAGTTGCAGCTGGAAGGTCATCCGCTGCGTAAAACATATGCTGTATAAGTTGGCGGTTCATTCCGCTGTGGTGACCCTGGATTAATAAAGGGACTAAGCAGAAAAGAAAATAATTAATAAATGAATCTCAAAGTCAAGAAATGCTTCTAAACCATCACATTTACGCACATCTCAGTTCTGTGTGGTGCAGCATTATTTAGCTGACTCTGATTTTGTGTGATTTTGTCTTTCTGGTGTTTTGACAAAAATGTCAGATAGAACCTTATAATTCTAATGCTGCGTTCACACCAGACGCAAAACATGCAGATAAATCGCGCTATTCGTGCGTAAATAGCCGAGTGAACATTTGAGTTAACTTGCTTCATTCGCGCGTCAAGCCCCGCTTCATTTGCGCGTCAAATTCACTTCAGACCAGACGTGGACTCGCGTGATGGGCAGGGCTTCTGTCTGCCGGCTGGTGACTTTAGCTTCATAGCTAAATGGCTAACATGGATTTTATTGAGAAAATAACAGTGTTTATGTGCTTTATGAAGACTGAAAAACAGCGTTGATACTTTTATTTTTGTATTGCTTTTGATTTTTGTATTGCTGTATATCCTGTGTTTAATAAGCAATGTGTCAGCGTTTGGATCTGCATAGGTGCATAACTAACACGCTCTGCGTCGTACTTAAGACCAGCTTTTAGTTGGTCTATAACGCAGTCTATTTCAGTTCCTCAAAATAGCAATGCGCCAACAATTCGCCTTAACACACCTTTTTTTAGACCAGAACACCCATAAGTGCACATTGTGGCACAAACGGATTTGCTATTTAAACAACGTGGCGCAATACGTGAAAATTAGGGTTGCGCTGGTCTGAAAATAGCAACAAATCTTGCCATATACGTCTTGCCCTTTATTGCATCGAGAGTATGACGGGGCCCTCGATGTTATTTTAACAATTAAAAGTTTTTGTGCAAACCATCAGATGAAATTCTACCTCATTACAGTTAGAGTAAGTAAATGTGTGTGGTTACCAGTTCCAGGTATCGGGCAGGCATGGCATGGCTTGTTCCAGGCTTTTCCCACATTGTAGGAACAGCAGCACAATCTGTGTGTGATGTTAAAGTTGAGCTGATGTTCACAGGCACTGCCATTGTAGCTGCGATAGCACAAACTTTTCCTCATATCTAAAACAACACCAATCCAACAAACTTAGATGCATTTAAAAAAAAAAAACATATATACGGTCACTGTAAATAAGAATCTATATTTAGTCATTAAACCACACAGACATTTAAAATGTAGTCACTAAACCGCACAGATATTTAAAATGTAAATAAAAGTCAGTAATTGATAATAAAGTGATTCTATTGTTCCTCTGTGAAGACACACTCACCCATGCATCTGTGTCCTCCATTCACCTGAATGTAATCTTGTGGACAGACACAAGTGTAGTTTCCCAGTGTGTTGTAGCAGGTGCCTGGACCACAAACCCCCAAACTGAGCACACACTCATCGATATCTGAAAGAGATATATTACAGGAAGAAAAGAAATCAAATTTTCTACATTTCCATATACTTCAATGGTGTCACAAAATCCAAAAATAAAATAAGCTAATATAGAGTTAATATGGACTCAATATTTTGCTGTTTGTTCAAACTACTTAATTAAAATGAGCTGAAACAACAAACATCTTGATATTTTCAGGGAGGCAACTTAATGTTAATGTTCAATGCACTTAAATTTGTAAAAACTGGTAAGTCAACTTAATTCCTTTATGTTTTACATTTTGTATCATATTTGTGTAGCCTAATCATATTAAAATGCTCGTTTTAACATAATAATCTCATACAAACACCCTTAGTTAATTAAAAAAAAAACATTTAAAGTGGATTGATGGTACTAACATCCTGTGCAGTACAAATTCCTAAACATCAAGTGTAGACATACTTGGTTTGACAGAAAATATGATTATATTCTATCCTGAGCTAATATACAGAATCAACAGACTCACATCTTCCTTTTCCATTCAAGTTGTCATTAACAATTCATCCATCAATAACACTTTAGTTTAGGTCACAATTTACGGTATTACAGATTTTCTCAGTCGCTTTAGTGCATTTCTCCCAACACTATTTACATTTGCACAACAGTAAAAGCATTTCTCAAAACAATTAGTACAAACTGCAAAACCTAGTTGATAACCTGCAAAAGCGTGTCACTTGCTCAAAATGGATAGCTCATTCCTCAAAACGCAAGTATTCATGTCAATGAAAGTGTCAGTGTCATCAAGATGAAAAGTCCTGACACCATTGTTTATGAACAGAATAGTCAAATGGCTTTGTCATGTTTTCATTATGACAGTTTACTCTGTATGTTTGTTCCAATGCAAAAAAGTTTTGGTGACACTTCCTGAAAATGCTCAAAACGGCACTCTATACTATTTGCACAGCCATTTGAAAACTACAGTAAGGTTAGACATCACTGCATTTATTGAGGTATCTGAGTACAAGACACTGAATATGCATGTTTCACATTTTACTGTATATGTATATGCTATTTATTTATAGGGACCTTCTTGCTGTGAGGCGACAGCACTACCTACTGCGCCACTGCGTCCCCAAAGGACGTTTATGCTTGTTGCAAATAAGGGTGTATTTATTCTTTTGCACAATGCTGTGAATAAATTAGAATTGTAAAAAGAAGCATATGCAGTAAAAATGTGAAACATGCTTATTCAGTGTGTTTCACTCAGATACCACATTAAATACAGTGATGGCTGTGCAAATAGTACATAGTCTTCAGCATTTTCAGCATTTTCAGGAAGTGTCACTAAAATCAGACTTTTTTGCATTGGAAAACAATTACAAAGTAAATTGTCATAATGAAAACATGACAAAGTACTGTAAGTGTACAAAGCCATATGAATATCTTGGTTGATAAACAATGGTGTCAGGACTTTTCATCTTGATGACACTGACACTTTGACATGAATACTTGCGTTTTGAGGAATGAGCTATCCATTTTGAGCAAGTGAAACGCTTTTGCAGGTTATCAACTAGGTGTTGCAGTTTGTACTAACTGCTTTGAGGAATGCATTCACTGTTGTGCAAATGCACTAATGCGACTGAGAAAAACAGTAAAAGTGGGGGGACACAAACAGGATTTTGAAAAGTGGTCCCTTAGTGAAAATTACGCCCCTGCTCTTGAGCGTTTCTCTGTTAAAAAAGCATAAGTGAACCTCTCTCACCTTCACAGATGCGGCTCTGTGTGTTAAGGTAGAATCCGGCTGGACATTCACACTGGAAACTTCCGAATGTGTTAACACAGTTTCCACCCTGACAGACGCCGGGCAGCTCCTGACACTCATCGATATCTGACAACAAGAAAAAAAAAGAAAAAAAAGAAACACAATTCAAAAGAAATAAACAAAGATACAAAAAAGAAAAGAAAAAACATTTCATCCTGCCTCTACAAGAAGGTCAGAAAGTCTTTGCATATTGATGGCAGCTCCCTGGCGCCTGCAATATCCAGGAAATTCAGTGAGAAAAAGAAACCCTTTTCGAGGGTATTAAAGTGTGGTTTCTGTAATTCCAAGACAAACTGTATCCAGCTGGTATACAGCTGGTGTTTTGAAAGCATCTCCATTCATGACTTCTGCTTCAATCTATCTATCTATCTATCTATCTATCTATCTATCTATCTATCTATCTATCTATCTATCTATCTATCTATCTATCTATCTATCTATCTATCTATCTATCTATCTATCTGTCTGTCTGTCTGTCTGTCTGTCTGTCTGTCTGTCTGTCTGTCTGTCTGTCTGTCTGTCTGTCTGTCTGTCTGTCTGTCTGTCTGTCTGTCTGTCCGTCCGTCCGTCCGTCCGTCCGTAGGTCTGCCTGTCTATATTTAATTATAAATGTATTAAAATATAAATTAGCCAACTTAATTTAATCAATTCATGTATTACTACTACCAAACATGCAGTATATATTATGATTCATGCATTGAAATTTGACGTCATAAATAAAATTCTACAAAAAAACATGTGAGAGAAGAGGGAAAAAAACGCAAGGGGTAATTAGCTACAGAGCATTAGAGAAGAGCTCATTAATATCCTTGACCATTCCAAATATGGTCAAAGCGGAGCTTTTTATTCTAGGGGTAATTCCTGTGGTTTTAAATGAGCATATGATAAGAGAATACAATTTAACACAATAAATCAATGCACTCTATGGCACTTTTAGAAACAAAATATTCTAATCTAAATCAAAATTTAAATATTATGAAGTATAATATTTAATTACACAGTAACTGTTAAAAAACATGACACTCAAGGGTGTATTGTAATGCACTACTGAATGTATCTCTAGTCTTTATTTATTCTCAGTCTTTATTCATTCTCAGTATAGAACATCCATTGTTATTTTATTGCTTCAGTGCTTATACATGAAAGTATGTTCAGCAGTGCATTGTGTTAGTCTAATAACTAGTTGATTACCTTCCAAGATGATGGTGACAGGGTTGGGTTTGAACCCCTCTCCTCCAGGACAGAGTGTGTTATACTCCGCTAGAGAAACATAGATACAATAAATGAGATAATTATTATTTGCATATTCATCCATGTTGCTCAGTATGAAAAAGCGCAGGAATGGTATTGCCTCAAAAAGGTATTAAATTATATAACACAGGTGACTAAAACAACTATAAATTAATATAGATTTTAAAAGAAGTTAACTGAAAAAAGTAAATTTTATATAGGTTTTTGTACAGCATATAGTGTTGTGTTTTACAAACATTTTCTAATTTCTGTTTAAATAGGAGAATATATTTTCAATGTATTCATTCATTTTCTTTTCGGCTTAGTCCCTTTATTAATCCGGGGTCGCCACAGAGGAATGAACCGCCAACTCATCCAGTATATGTTTTACGCAGCAGATACGTAAGGTTATTCATTCATTTTCTTGTTGGCTTAGTCCCTTTATTAATCCGGGGTCGCCACAGCGGAATGAACCGCCAACTTATCCAGCACATTTTTACGCAGTGGATGCCCTTCCAGCCGCAACCCATCTCTGGGAAACCTTCACACACACACACACTCATACACTCAGACAATTTAGCCTGCCCAGTTCACCTGTACCGCATGTCTTTGGACTGTGGGGGAAACCGGAACACCCGGAGAACATGCAAACTCCACAAAGAAACGCCAACTGACCCAGCCAAGGCTCGAACCTGTGACCCAGCGACCTTCTTGCTGTGAGGCGACAGCACTACCTACTGCGTCGCCTGCGTAAGGTTAATAAATAATCATTTCTAATGACTAATATTATAATGATTGGGAAGAAGAAACTGTTGAATAAAAGTTGCTATTTTAGTTGTGTGTGTACAAAAGTACTCCTATAGCTTGATAATATTTCAGTTGAAGCTATGAAATCCATTTTGAAGGGGATTTTGGTACCTTTCTGGACTTTTGAACGACGTCTATGGAGGATAAGGGAGCTCTTAGATTTGTGTTTTGAAGACAAATATTTGATGTATTTTATTTGAACTAATATTTTGAAGAGGGCGGTGCGGTGGTGCAGTGGGTAGCACAATCGCCTCACAGCAAGAAGGTTGCTGGTTCGAGCCTCGGCTGGGACATATGGCATTTCTCTGTGGAGTTTGCATGTTCTTCCCGTGTTCGCGCGGGTTTCCTCTTGGTGCTCCGGTTTCCAAAGTCCAAAGACATGCGGTATAGGTGAATTGGGTAAGATAAATTGTATGTGTGTGTGAATGAGTGTATATGGGTGTTTCACAGTGATGGGTTGCAGCTGGAAGGTAATCCGCTGCTTAAAACATGTGCTGGATAAGTTGGCGGTTCATTCCGCTGTGGCGAGCCCAGATTAATAAAGGGACTAAGCCGAGAATATTTTGAAGAGATGCAAAAATAAAATTCTGTCAACTTTTACTCACCCTTTACCTGTTTCAAACATTTATGAGTTTCTTTCTTATGTTAAACACAAAAGAAGATATTTAAAAAAATGTTAAAAACATTTAACATGTTAAGAACATTTTTCGTTTATTATGGAAGTCAATTGTAAAAGGATTTCAGCTTTCTTCAAATTAATTGTAAGACAATAGTTACATGTTTTTAACATTTTTTAAAATATCTTCTTTTGTGTTTCACAAAAGAAAGAAACTTATAAAGGCTTGGGGGTGAGTAAATAGTAAGTATATTAAAATTTACTATAATTTAAAGCTATAATTTTAGTGATAATGATTTAAATTTGATCATAACAAATAGCAACATTTCATACAGTATTATTAAGAAAGATAAAATTAAATTGCATACAGTAGGTATATGCAAAAGCTGCCACAGCCGTAATAATATATACCAGTACTAAAGTTCTGACATAAAACGTGATTGAACTATTATCATTTGAAGAAAGTTTAACTATTACGTATTACTGCAGAATTACATACAGGTGTTGAGTGTAGGGCAGTGGTCACATGGGTAACCCCACACCCGTCCCAGAGAACAGCAACATGAGGAACGACTGACTCCAAATCCAATTTCAGCACTACATGCCAGCTTACTATTGTACGCCACCTCCAGAAAACAGTTTCCAACCCGGGTGTCTGGCACATGAAATAGAGAACAACTGATTTCAATAAACAATGAAGAAAATATGAATGGCATAAAATAGATACATACAATGAAGACAATTCTTGTTTTTTATGGGACAACTTAATTGTTTTACGTTCAATCCACTTAAATCTGTAAAAACAATTAAATTACAGTGGAGATGAAAAGCAAAGGTGCGAGGTTTCCGTGTTGTAAAAAATCAACAATAAATCACTTTAGAACGTTTTCCAGCTTAAATGTAAACTATAACCTGTACAAATGCATAAAACTCATATCTTTTAGATGTGGTGAACTAAAAATCAAAAAACTAAAATAATGAAATTGCAATAATTTGTAGACCTTTAAAGTAATACTCTGTTGAAGCACCACTTGATTTTAGTTATTACAGCACTGTCTTTTTGGGTACAAGTCTATCAGCATGGCATATCTTGATTTGGCCCTATATTATAATATTTGCCTTTTCTTCTTCGGAAAACTGCTTCAAATCTGTCAGATTGTAAGGACATCTCCTGTGCACAGTCCTCTTTAGATAACTCCACAGATTTGCAATGGGATTCAAGTTTGGGTTGTGGCTGGGCCATTCCAAAACGTGAATTTTTCTTCTGGTGAAGCCATTCCCTTTTTGATTTGGATGTGTGCTTATGATCGTTATCATGCTGAAAGATGAAGTTCCTCTTCCTCTTCAGCTTCCTAGCAGAAGCCTGAAGGTTTTCTCGTAGTATTGACTGGTATTTAGCCCTGTTCAAAATTCCCTTCACCTTTACTAAGACCCCAGCTCCAGCCAAAGAAAAGCATCCCTAAAGCATGCTGCCACCACCATGCTTCTCCGTGGGTATGGTGTTTCTTTGGTGATGCGCAGTGTTGTTTTTGCGCCAAACATACCTTTTGAAGTTATGACCAAAAAGAAAAAAACACCTTTTCACACATGCTCTAGGGAGAATTCAACCCGGGCCTGGATATTCTTTGTAAGAAAAGGCTTCCATCATGCCATGTTACCCCATAGCATAGACATATGAAGATTACAGGAAATTATTGTTACATGTATTACACAGCCAGTACTTGCCAGAAGTTTCTGCAACTCTTTTATGTCGCTGTAGGCCTCTTGGAAGCCTCTTTGATTAGTTTTCTTTCGTCTCTTTATCAATATTGAAGGAATGTACAGTTCCCCTTCGGTTGGGGAACTTCAGTGCCATGAATGGGAGGATTCGGATCAGAAGCCGCTTGTCTGGAGAGTATTGAACGGGCCAATGAATGAAATTAATTGGCAGCGTAAGCTTGCGCAGGTGTGCGGCATCTGCAATTATCTCAGCATATAAGCACACCTGAAGCCAGCAGACGCCATCCTTTTCGCTTCAGATCCTTTCTGAGTGAGTCGATGAGGGTTCCTCTTGCTGATCAGCACTTCAGAGCGAACGAGTGTGTCTCCCGGTCCAGAGTGGGTCTTCGCGGTGGCAGACGGTCGAGCTGGGTTTCTCCCTTGCCTGCGGTTCTTTAGGTCCGGTCCTCCAGAGCGGTGCGTATTGTTGCAAACTTTCCTAAAAGAGCAACACAGTCGTGCAGCACGTCCTTTTCAGGATGGCGCTCCGACTGTGCGTTTCTGGATGCGGGGGTTTCCTGGCTCCGGATGATGGACACGATCACTGCATTGCATGTTTGGGGGTCCAGCATGTTAATGCGGTGCTCGCGGGCGGTTCATGTCGTCATTGCGATGCCATTACCGTTGCACAGTTAAGATCGCGGCTAACTTTCGCAAGAGAGCAAGCCACCCCAGTTGCCTCCTGTTCTAAAAAAGCAGCGGGCGCTCGGGCAGATCTGAGGGTTTCAGCGGGAGATAATCCGCCGCCCACGGGCTCGCGGACCTCTCGCTCCTCACGGCGCTCCATCCAAGCTTCGGGTAGTGGGAGTGATCCGTCTAACCAGATGGTAGCTCTCACACTCGCTGACACCGGAGATCAGATGTCCTCCGCGGCATCGGAGGGTGGGCTTTCACTGTCCGACGAAGATCCGGACCCGCTCGCTCCCTCCGGGCAGGTGAGCGCTGTCAAATCGGATCCTGAAGCGGACATGTTAGCCTGCTTTCCCGGGCTGCTTCGGCCGTGGGGTTGGAGATGGTTTATCCCCCAGCTCCGCGGCCGGACCGACTAGATGGGTGCTACGTAGAGGACCAGAAGGCGAAGCCTTCGAAGCCTCTCGTCCCCTTCTTCCCGGAAGTGCACAGTAGGCTCACGCAGTCTTGGAGGGCACCTTTCTCTGCCCGTGCTGCGTGTGCCTCCGCCCTCACCGCCCTTGACGGCGGAGCTGCCAGGGGGTATGAGGCGATCCCGTCAGTGGAGCGCGCTATCGCGGTCAATCTTTGTCCGCGCGGCGCCTCTACGTGGCGGGGTTTGCCCCGCCTCCCGTCCAAAGCCTGTAGGTTGTCTGCCTCCCTCGGAGCCAGAGCTTATAAGGCTGCGGGCCAGGCTGCTTCTGCTTTGCACGCGATGGCCACCTACCAGCGCTACCAAGCGCAGGCGCTGGCCGAGCTGCACGAGGGCGGGTCCAACCCAAGCTTATTACATGAGCTGCGCACCGCGACCGACTATGCTCTTCGGACTACTAAGTCCGCCGCGTGTGCGCTGGGGAGGACGATGTCCACACTTGTGGTTCAGAAACGCCACCTCTGGCTAAACCTGGCCGATATGCGCGACGTTGACAAAGTTCGCTTTCTTGACTCGCCCATATCCCAGGCTGGCCTGTTCGGCGACACCGTCGGTGAATTCACCCAGGAATTCAAGGCGGTGAAAGAGCAGTCGGATGCGATGGGCAATGTCACCTATCGGCGTGGCCGTAAGCCTGCTCCGCCCGCCGAGCCATCCACCTCCGCTGTTCCTCGCCGAGGGCGCCCGCCAACGAGTGCTGCCCCACCCCCGCCTGCGCCTCCGGCCAAGCGGGCGCGGCGTACACCTCGAAAGCAGGCAGCCCCTCCTGCCCAGGGCGCCGTTAAGTCCGGTAAACGGACCGCGAAGCGTCCCTGAGACAGGCCATCCGGAGAAGAGGAAACTTGCTCTTTCCCCGCTGGAGGGCGGGGCCCCGATAACAACGGTACTTTTCAGTGCCACCAAAACATCAGTAAAAGAGCACTTTTTCCCTTCCCCGGATGTGACTGCACGAGTTCTGCCAGTCCGGGACGCGCTGCCTTCCGGCTCGCAGACTCTACGTGCTTCGCCAGTGGCTCACGAGCGCTGGGGGGACGGTCTCCCTTCCCTCAGCCCTCCAGCCCCCTCTCCGGAGTCAGGGTGCGGAGCCAGAGCGAATCGCTCTCCTCCAGCTCTTCCGCGGGACCCTCGTGCTTCCCCCCCCGATCAGCACACCCACTCCGCGCTGCCCCACCGCTGGTACGTCAGCGATTGTAGCGATGACTCCATTAGCGAGGGCTCTGCCTGCCTGGTTAGCGCGGGCCAGCCCCTCGCGGTGGCTCATACGCACAATCAGACTCGGTTACGCGATTCAGTTCGTGAAACGGCCCCCCAAGTTTACGGGCGTGTATTTCTCCAGGGTCAACCCCCTGTCCGCCCCTGTCTTGCGAGAGGAGATTGCTGCCCTCCTGGCGAAGGGTGCAATCGAGCCGGTTCCTCCAGCCGAGATGGAGAGTGGGTTTTACAGCCCATACTTCATCGTACCCAAAAAGAGCGGTGGGTCACGGCAAATCCTAGATCTGCGCGTTTTGAACCGCTGTCTTCACAGGCTGCCGTTCAGAATGCTCACGCAGAGGCGCATTCTCCAATGCGTTCGTCCTCAGGATTGGTTTGCAGCCATAGACCTGAAGGACGCGTATTTCCATGTCTCCATTCTTCCACGCCACCGCCAATTTCTGCAGTTTGCGTTCGAGGGTCGAGAGTGGCAGTACAAGGTCCTCCCCTTCGGGCTCTCTCTGTCTCCGCGGGTCTTCACCAAACTCGCGGAGGGTGCCCGGGCATCCGCATACTCAATTATCTCGACGACTGGCTGATTTTAGCCCACTCGCGGGAGCAATTGATTATGCACAGGGACAAGGTGCTTCGGCATCTCCGCCTACTGGGGCTTCAGGTCAACCGAGAAAAGAGCAAACTCGCCCCCGTGCAGAGGATTTCTTTTCTCGGGATGGAGCTGGACTCGATCACCATGGTAGCGCACCTCTCCGAGGAACGCGCTCGCCTGTTGCTGAACTGTCTGAGGGAGCTCGACAGCAAACTAGTGGTCCCACTGAAGTTCTTTCAGAGGCTCCTGGGGCATATGGCATCCGCAGCCGCCGTCACGCCGCTCGGGTTGCTCCATATGAGACCACTTCAGCACTGGCTTCACGATCGGGTCCCTAGACGCGCATGGCACGCGGGCACACACCGGGTCTCGGTTACTGCGCTGTGTCGCCGCGCCCTCAGCCCTTGGAACGACCCCTCGATCGTACAGGCCGGTGTGCCTCTAGGACAGGCGTCCAGCCATGTTGTTGTTTCAACAGACGCTTCCAACACGGGTTGGGGGGCCGTGTGTCGCGGGCATGTGGCTGCGGGCCTCTGGAAGGGTGCCCAGCTGCATTGGCATATCAATCGCCTAGAGCTGTTGGCAGTGTTCCTCGCTCTCCACCGCTTTTTACCGGTGCTGGAGCGGCAACACGTGCTGGTCAGGACGGACAGTATGGCGGCGGCGGCGGCGTATATCAACCGCATGGGGGGTATGCGCTCTCGCCGCATGTCTCAGCTCGCCCGCCGTCTGCTCCTCTGGAGTCACCTGCGGCTGAAATCGCTGCGCGCCATTCAGGTCCCAGGCACGCTCAATCGTGCAGCCGATGCGCTCTCACGACAGCTGTTACGCCCTGGAGAATGGAGACTCCACCCCGAGTCTGTCCAGCTGATATGGGCGCGATTCGGGGAGGCCCAGATCGATCTGTTTGCTTCCCCCGAGAACGCTCACTGCCAGTTGTTTTTTTCCCTGACCGAGGGCTCTCTCGTCACGGATGCACTGGCCCACAGCTGGCCTCGGGGCATGCGCAAGTATGCGTTTCCCCCAGTGAGCCTGCTCGCGCAGTTTCTGTGCAAGGTCAGGGAGGACGAGGAACAGGTTCTGCTAGTTGCGCCCCTTTGGCCCAACCGGACCTGGATATCAGAGCTCTCACTCCTCGCGACGGCCCTCCCCTGGCGGATCTCTTTGAGAGAGGACCTACTCTCTCAGGGACAGGGCACCATCTGGCACCCTCTTTGGAACCTCCACGTGTGGTCCCTAGACGCGAGGAAGACTTAGGTAACCTACCGACTGCGGTGGTTAATACCATCACTCAGGCTAGAGCCCCCTCCACGAGGCGCGCCTACGCCCTGAAGTGGAGTCTATTCACTGAATGGTGCGTCTCTCGCAGAGAAGACCCCCGAAATTGCCAGATTAGTGTTGTGCTCTCTTTCCTTCAAGAGAAGTTGGACAGCAGGCTGTCGCCCTCCACTCTCAAGGTTTACGTGGCCGCCATCTCTGCTTATCATAGCGCGGTAGCTGGCGGCACCGTGGGAAAGCATAACCTGGTCATCCAGTTCCTTAGGGGTGCTAGGCGAATTAATCCATCTCGCCCCCCTCTCATGCCCTCTTGGGATCTCGCCCTCGTTCTCACGAGTCTGCGATCTGATCCCTTTAAGCCACTCGAATCAGTATCTCTAAGATTTCTGTCCCTGAAGACAGCTCTTCTGGTTGCGTTGGCCTCCATCAAGAGGGTCGGGGACCTGGAGGCATTTTCGGTCAGTGACTCGTGCCTGGAATTCGGGCCGGATTACTCTCATGTCATCCTGAGACCCCGCCCCGGTTATGTGCCCAAGGTTCCTACCACCCCCTTTAGAGATCAGGTAGTGAACCTGCAAGCGCTGCCCCCGGAGGAGGCAGACCCAGCCCTTTCTTTACTTTGTCCAGTTCGCGCTCTGCGCATTTATGTGGACTGTACTCAGAATTTTAGATCATCTGAGCAGCTCTTTGTCTGTTATGGCGATCGGCAGCAGGGAAGTGCCGTATCGAAACAAAGATTATCCCACTGGATTGTGGATGCCATTTCACTCGCTTATTCGAGTCGAGGTCAGCCGTGTCCCCCGGGAGTACGTGCACACTCCACTCGGAGCGTTGCATCCTCTTGGGCGCGTGCACGCGGCGCCTCTCTAACAGACATCTGTAGAGCTGCGGGCTGGGCGACACCCAACACATTTGCAAGGTTTTAAAATCTGCGAGTGGAGCCGGTTTCCTCAAGGGTATTAGGTAACCCTTTGGTGATTGAGGAGACAACTCGGTAGGGTGTTGAAACACGCTTGCAGCGCCATTCTCCCTAACACGGAGGTACGTGCGCCTTTTTATCTGTCAGTAAAGTTCCCCATCAGGTGAGCCCTGCAGATTCCTCCATGGCCCCCAGCACTGACTCAGCGGAGGAGTCACTTGCTGGCCCACTACGTTGTAGGTCTGCCCGCTGGTCAGCCCGGGTTTTGGGTATAGGTGCCTGCTATGCGTGATCCCCACTAGGCGATCCCATATGCTTATTCCGCCATGGTTAAGTCCCCCCCCTGGGCGGACCCGTGTCTTCCCTCTCCGCTAACCACTCTTTTGCTATGCGTACTCCCCCTTTTTAGGGCTAGTCCATATGTAAATTCTGCCATCTATCCTCCCCTTGGGTAACGGATGGCCTCCGCAGCGTCCTCCCTATCGGGATTGCACGCTTCCCAATGTACTGTCGTATTTCCTAGAATTATCTAGATGCTCACGACTTCCCAAAAAAATATATCTAAATCCGTAAAACTTCTGTTGAAGTAGGATAAATTAGGGCCAGGGACACGTTGGAGGACCGCGCCCCCCATGATGTGGGTGCGTCACGCTTGCTTGACTATCTCCTCATCGGGGGTGTTGGTAAGGTGCAGTCATTATGGCGCTTTCCATACTTCTCCCATTCATGGCACTGAAGTTCCCCAACCGAAGGGGAACGTTCGAGGTTACAGAAGTAACCCTTCGTTCCCCGAGGAGGGGAACGGAAGTGCCATACTCCGTCGCCATAATGACTGTCCCTTAGCTGTTTGAAAGTCTCTTCAGCTTAAAAGGATGGCGTCTGCTGGCTTCAGGTGTGCTTATATGCTGAGATAATTGCAGATGCCGCACACCTGCGCAAGCTTACGCTGCCAATTAATTTCATTCATTGGCCCGTTCAATACTCTCCAGACAAGCGGCTTCTGATCCGAATCCTCCCATTCATGGCACTTCCGTTCCCCTCCTCGGGGAACGAAGGGTTACTTCTGTAACCTCGAACGTTCTCGGTAATGACACTGTTGTGCCATATTTTCTCCTCTTGATGATGACGGTCTTCACTGTTACAATGTCTTTTCTGTACCCTTGTCCTGGCTGATACGTTCTAACAATGAGATACCTCTGATGCTTTGGAAGCTCTCTGTGGACCATGGCTTTTGCTGTCAGATGCAACTACTGTAGGAAAATGTCAGGAAACGACTACTAGAGCCACTGAACTTTTTTCTGGGTTAATCAAAAGTGCTTTAAATCAGGGATTCTCAACCGGTGGGCCTCAGCGATCCTGCAGGTGGGCCTTAAAATGTAAAATTTTAATTTAAAACTTAACATTATTTTTTATAAAATTAATTGTATAATTATTTAATTTCATTATTAAATATGTTTTATATAAAATGATTGGTTTAATGGCATTTCCCGTTATCTGTTATTGATTACTTCGGTCTTCGGTTCTCAATGTCTCAATGTAAAAAACAGACTTAACCGTGGCTGCATGTCAACTAGGACTACTTGCTCAGCTGTATAAAGCAAACCATCACACAAATGTAAAGGTAACGTATCACATCTCTCACATTTTCGTTGATTCACAAACTATGCTAACTCTTTTTATGTGAACTCTTTAAAATATCAGCATAGTTGTCAAAATTAGTGTTTTATAACACGAGTGTGAGTGTTTTTATCACTACAGTCAGCAGACTCCAATAATATTCTAAAAAACAACAGCCTTCAGATCGATGTGTTTCAACAGACTTAGGGCCCTATCATATACCCGGCGCAATGTGGCGCAAGGCGCGGCGCAATACTTGTTTGCTAGTTTCAGCTTGGTGCAAGAGTCGTTTTGAGGCGTTGTGCTACGCTGTTTAAATAGCAAATGCATTAGCGCTCATTTGTGCGCCCATAGGCATTCTGGTCTAAAAAGGAAGGCATTCTGAGGCGCACTGCTGGCGCGTCGCTATTTTAAGAAACTAAAATAGATTTAAACTCCGGCGCGGAGTTGCTCCTCTCTAACACACTGCTTAATACGCTTAAGAGACCAATAGGCAAATATCTTTCCATATGAAAAAATGTAAATATTAAAGATATATATAGGATATACTAAGAATAGATATAGAATATAAATATAAATATGCATTTTGCGCTCTGCGCATGGACCGTCAAAATAGAGCCCTTAGAGTGTTTTTACTGTATATATATATATATACTGTGTATATATATATATATATACTGTACATATATATATACAGTTGAAGTCAGAATTATTAGCCCCCCTGAATTATTGACGCTCCTGTTTATTTTTTCCCCCTAATTTTTGTTTAATGGAGGGAAGATTGTTTCAGCACATTTCTAAGCATTATAGTTTTAAAAACTATTTCTGATAACTGATTTATTTTATCTTTGCCATGATGACAGTAAATAATATTTTACTTGATATTTTTCAATATACTTCTATACAGCTTAAAGTGACATTTAAAGGCTTAACTAGGTTAATTGGGATAACTAGGCAGGTTAGGGTAATTAGGCAAGTTATTCTATAACGATGGTTTGTTTTGTAGACTACTGAAAAAAAATTAGCTTAAAGGAGCTTAATAATTTTGTCCCAAAAAAATTAAAAACTGCTTTTATTCTAGTCGAAATAAAACAAATAGGACTTTCTCCAGAAGAAAAAATATTATCAGACATACTGTGAACATTTTCTTGCTCTGTTAAACATCATTTGGTAAATATTTAAAAGTGAAAAAAAAATCAAAAGGGCTAATAATTCTGACTTCAACTGTATATATATATATATATATATATATATATATATATCATTTTTTTTCAATAAAATGCTGTAGAAAAGTAAAAATAAATATTATTTTAAAATAAATAAATATTTTGCGAATAAATATAGGTTTAAAATAGGCATTACCTCTAGACAACTGTCACAAGGCTGCACAAAGTGCTTTACAGAGAAAGAACAAACAAAAGGTATGGACATAATAAACAATAACAGCAATATGCACATAATATAAGAGAGCATAAAAAGTGTGAAAAAAAAAACCTACCACAGTTGACCACACTAACAGAATTAAGAACAAGACCGTTTGAGCCCAACAACCCCAAATCCCCGAGCCTCCCGCAGGGAAAGGACTTTTGCTTCAAGAGACCTAAAAAATTATTGAGTCTTTAATTTAGACTTAAAGATTGGCAGTGACGAAACCTTTTTTAGTCCTAACGGCAGGTGTGTACTGACTTTTAAACATTTAAAATGAGTTTAAATGTGATTGTTTAATTTTGAATACAGCCAGTTATCCACAGGGTGTGCATACTTATGCAACCATATTATTTAAGTTTTTTTAACATACTAAAACACCTAAAAGATTTCAGGTTAAAGTTTCAGGTTCAAATTGTACAGGTTAAAGGTAGATGTTCAAAAAATTATTTTTTTCAACAGAAAACTTGCATTTTTACTGGTGTGTGTGGACTTTTTATATCCATTGTAACTTAATCTATTTGTGCTTGGACAACATGAAAGAAATGTGTACAACCCTTTTTTTTACAGTGTAAGATGGTGGTTTAGGGTCAGAGTGCCACTGTTTGGGTCATATTCAAGAATCAATCTTACCAACGCATCCAATTCCAGTAGGATTGAGCTCGAAGTCAATAGGACAGTTACACTGGTACGAGCCGGCTGTGTTCTCACAGTGACCATTAACACAGTTTAAGGAATCGAGACACTCGTCCACATCTGACATCAAAACAACACAGAAAATGGTTAATGTGTGAGATGAAGAACAGCTGCTGGTCTAAGTATGGTAATAGCATGTTTACCTGTGCAGTTTCCACCTGTCCTGTCCAGCTCATACCCCTCATCACAAATACAGCGAAACATTCCTGGAATATTCTGACATGTGCCAAACACACAGATGTTCTGGAAGGAGCACTCGTCTATATCTGTAACATACAGTACATCCTTGATTTACTGTAAATGTTTTATTTTTATTTTTTCTGATCAGCAATGAATACACACGAGTAAAAAATAGCCATTCATTTAAAGCATAGACCTCAAACTGGATTCCTGGAGGGCCGCAGCTCTGCACAGTTTTGCTTCAACCCTAGTTAAACACAGCTGATCCAACTAAGTATAGTGTTCAAGACTACTAGAGACTGTTAAGCAGGTGTGAGTTGGAGGCAGTTGGAGGCTAAACTATGCAGAGCTGCGGCCCTTAAGGAATTGAATTTGAGACCATTGATTAAAAGGGTCAGTTGACGTAAGATTGTAAATTCTGTTATTATATCCTAATGTTTTTCAATGCCCAGACCCTTTGTTCATCTTCAGGACACAAATTAAGATTTTAGATTAAATCTGAGAGTACTTTGACCCTCCATACACAGCGAGGGTCTTGAGATGTTTAAAGTCCATATAAGTAAACAAATCCCATTCCAAGTGATTTTAGTGGTTCACTGTAAACATACAAAGACGTTTGTGAAGCGAAAAACCCTGCAAATCATCATATTTGTTCACCCATGTTTTCTCTTCCATGCTGGGTCAAGGTATTGATACATCCCTTGGATGTATTTATTATTATTATTATTGTTTATTTGTGTGTTTACTGCCCATTGGGAGTGGTTATGTTGTGTGTTTCTCTTTTACTCTTCCAATGTGTCTCTCTGCCTGCTCACTAGGTACAGTTGATTGGGTCCAGGTGGTGCTCATCATTGGAGCGTGCTGCAGTAACACGCTGCAACAAAAGAGCAGTGTGCCTCAACCCAAGTAGAGGTTCACTTCTCCCCTGCTCCAGACTTGTGGTTGTATACTTTGTGGGTATTGATCCTGTTGTATATTGAAAAGTTTTATTAAGCTATTGGGTTAAATTTAACTTCAGTCTTTGAAGAAACTTGGTGTTGTGCTTTGTGTTGTGGAGCTTTACAGACAGTTTGTCTGCTTTCTTAGTTGTATATTTAACTATGCTTTTTTGTGTGGTATTTAAAAGGTAATTGTAATGTTTCTTTGTCTTGACATTTTGATTTACAAAATGAAGCTGCAGGGAGAGGGTGCCATTTTTATTTTTGTACTTGTTTGACTGTGTTTCTTCATAGTAAGGGAGTTGAGGAAAGCCTTTGTTTTTTCATTTATTTTCTTTAACCTGAACTAGTTTATTTGGTACTCCTCTTAAGCTGGATCCGTTTTGTTTGTTGTTTTGGTTTAATCCTTCCCCTTAAGACTTATGTTTCATTTATTGTTTATTGAATGAGAACAAAACAATAAAAGCTTTAAGTTTACTCTTGTGGTTGTTTCACATTTCTGAGGCAGAGGATTAAAGTGTTCCCTCAATTATTGTTTTTTTTAACTTTATACAATTCATAAATTTGGACTTCTTTTTCTCAAATTCTAAATTTCAATTTTCTTTGTTATTTTCTTCCCCAACCCTAATAAAAAGGGGAAGGGACTTAACAGTATGAATTTATTTCAGGCCGTATAACGTATTAGAGTCAACAGCTCAACACGCAAGCTCTGTGTTTTCCATAGTACACCTGATCTGACATGAAGTCATAATCAAACAAATTCTTTTTACAGTATTTTAGTGACACAAAAGTTCTTGGAGCCTCAAATGATTACATTTGAACCAATGAAGGCTTCTGAAGATGAACAAAGGTCTTGGGGAATCAGAGCCACAAGAAGGTGAATAATTAATGACAGAATTTATAATCTTTTAAGGTAGGGTAAGGTTAAGGTTTTGTGGTTTAAGTTTTAGGTTTGATTAAAGTGTGTGATTAAAGATTTGTACAGTAATTACATATTTATTACTTACAGGTATTGTCTAATTACAGTTGAAGTCAGAATTATTAGCCCCCTGGAAATATTAGACCCCCTGTTTATTTTTTTTCCCCAATTTCTGTTTAACGTAGAGATTTCTTTCAACACATTTCTAAACATAATAGTTTTAATAACCCATTTTTAATAACTGATTTATTTTATCTTTGCCATGATGACAGTTAATAATTTTTACCAACTTTTTTAAAGACTCTTCTATATAGCTCAAAGTGACATTCATAAAGGCTTAACTAGGTTAATTAGGTTAACTAGGCAGGTTAGGGTAATTAGGCAAGTTATTGTATATTGATGGTTTGTTGCGTACACTATCGGGAAAAAAATATTCTAAAGGGGCTTATAATTTTGATCTTAAAATGGTGTTTAAAAAATTAAAAACTGCTTTTATTCTAGGCAATATAAAACAAATAAGACTTTTTCCAAAAGAAAAAAATATTATCAGACATACTGTGAAAATTTTATTGGTCTGTTTAACATAATTTGGGAAATATGTATAAAATAATAAATAAATAAAGCGGGGTTAATGATTCTGACTTCATCTGTAAGTATACCGGTCATTGTCATTACATGCATTGTATGAAATGATTCAGTTCACAATATGTGATAATACATAAACTGGGTTTAAAAGTGATTTAGAATTTATACTATATTTATAAATAGTCTAAAAAGTATCCTTTTATTCTAAGATGCTTTTAAAAATAAATAAAAAGCATAATCAAAGATGTGCTAATAACAAATCTTAAATCAATTTAAGTCTATTCCTCAGAAAAAAGAAAAACAGATACTGTGTCACAATTTATTTTAAGGTGTCCTTTTTACAGTGCAATTATTTATGTAAGTACTAAGTAATATTAATTAAGTACTATAAGTAGTTGCTTAGTTATTTGCTTATGGTTAGAATACGGGTTAGGTTTAGGGTTGGTTGCATTTAATTAGGAGAAATTAATTATAATTACTATAGTAAGTAGATAGAACATGTATAATGAGGACACCATAACATAAAGTGTTACTAAAATTTGTAATCTGTGTTTGAATAAAGAAAAGATTTCAGAATTTTAAATTTTTAAATGTTGAATTACTACCTTTTGTCCACAAAGTCATGTAATAAGAAATACATTATTTAGTGATATCCATTTGAATGTATGTTGAATGTGTGTATGTACTGTATGTATATTTCTTTGTGTGTGTGTGTGTGTGTGTGTGTGTGTGTGTGTGTGTGTGTGTGTGTGTGTGTGTTGATAAGCGCACCTCGACAGGTTTTTCTGTTTGAAGTGTGTGTGAAGCCCATCTCACATTCACAGCGATAGCTGCCAGGAACATTTAGACACTGGCCATTTTCACACAGATCCACATCTTCAGCGCATTCATCCAAATCTGCAGGACAGCCAGACATTTAAATGTGTGAACATCTTCAGTTAGAGAACCAAGGCTTGTATGATGTAAGAATAAAGAATGTTGTTGTTTATGAATGGATTGAAATGCTTAAGGAAGAATTGAGGATGGTTAAAAATGAAAGAATGACCTGAGCAGATAACCCCATCTCCAATAAACCCGTCTGAACATTCACAGTGGTACGAGCCAGCTGTGTTCACACACTCGGCATCGGCGCTGCAGACGCTAGTCCTGTTAGCACACTCATCCACATCTACACATCAAAATACATTCAACACCAAACAGTTACGCAGAAGAAAAGCAGGAGTTTTTCATTTTTAATACATTGGATATCAGACACTGAGATCTCACAACAAATCAGCAATGTGACTGCCCATTATTTTAATTCACTTTCATTTACATTTACTCATTTAGCAGATCTTAAATAAATCAAAACCACAATTTGTCAAAAGAACAATATTTGCCAAGTTTTAAGGTATGGTTGTTACAAAGTAACTATTCATTTAACTTCTAAGTACTACTAATTAATTACATGTACTTACTATATGGATAGGGTCAGAATGAGGTTAAGATCTAGGTTTATCTGCATGTAATAATGCATAATTAATTGTAAATACTATAGTAAGTTAATTTAAATTACATAAAATATATTACATTTCAAGAGTTCACACCTAGATGATGACGGATAATAAAGTGTGTATGGCATGCTGTCCCTGGAGAGAGCCCAGAAGATCTTCGAGCCCAGGGCTCCCTTCAGTTTCGTAGGGCGAGAGGAAAGTCTAAGCTCAGATAGGTCTGGAAAGCTCCCCTGGATTAGTTCTTTGAGTCTGCTATTGATTATTGGAAGTTGGCGTGGTGTGTTATACTGTTAACTGATTGTCATAAATTGGAATCCTAGACTAATTGCTCATGTACTGTGCCAATTTGGTTTAGACTGTGAGATGAAACGTTGGTTACGTATGTAACCGTGGTTCTGTGAATTCCGGATGACTGCCAGAGACTGCGTTTACACAGTGGATAATCGCAGTGCCAGCTGCCGAGGAACAACATACCAACAAAGTCACATGGTGACGCAAGGTAAACTGAGGTATATATCCACTACAGCTCTGCGCCCCTGTCTCTTTTTGCTTCTTGCCTTTGCATTTGGTCGTTGAATTAGTTTTGTCGTCGAGCGCAGCTCGTTGGACTACGGTTGGTGTTTCCTTTGTGCAATTACCAATCTAGGATTGTTCACTTTGTTATATTGTGGACTGTGGAAAAGTAGTTTTCTACATTATCTTACATTCGGCTGTAATATATGAGTGTCAGTTACCTCCCGGTACTATCCAGGGGTTAGACGCTGTATTTTTGTAAGCATCTGAGTAAAAAGCATATATAACATCAATTAATTATATCTCTTATATGGTGCTATCTGGAGGTTTTACGCCGAACTGCGGGTTACTGTTTATGTGACAGTTACCCTGCAGTGCTATCCGGAGGCTACTTTTCTACCATTACAAATACTCAGTGTGTTTTTTCGTGGCTGTTATTGGGCATATGCTCCGCTGTGTCCAGCGGTCCTAACCGTGGATGATTATAAAATATTTTTTTTGCTAGTATTGATTTTTCTTGCTCTCTGCTTCCATCGGTTGACTCGGAGGCCCAGATTTCGATTGACCGTTAGCGTGACTTTTCGCACGGCACATCACAAGACAACGGTCCTAGCCGTGGTATTTGGTTGGTTAGTTTTCTCAGTTTGATGCCTTCATATGGCTTATCATGTTATTTCCATGGCTTTCCCGATAACCCGCAAGCTCTGTCCTAACAAGCTTCTCCCAGATGACGTACACGATATCTGCCCATCCTGTCTCGGCGTTCAACATTTGAAAGACACACTAACTGAACTGTGCCCGCGCTGTAGTTTTCTGTCCTTGTCAGAGAGACAAGTGCATTTGGCAGTGATGCACAATGAGGATGCTGTTGCTTTACCAGCGGGTCTAGCGTTGCCAAAAGAGGGGAAAAAAATTTGACACTTTGGCGGCTTCTGGAGCTCCTCGTTTTAAGAAACCTAGCCTAAACATAAGAACACAGCTGAATATCTGTTGTTGGGGAAAGTGGCCTGTCTGTCTTCATACATGGTGGAGATGAAACGCCCTTTACAAAATCTACAGCCAGCATCTAACATCTCTACTTCCCCACTTTGACGTTGTGTCTACATGTGCTTCTGACTCTCATTTTCAGGAGCAATCTCCGACTGACGTTCCTGAGCCTGTTGACCAACCTGTAAGACATGCTGTGACAGTTGGATCTGAGAATGGCTCTCCACATTCTTCTGAGAACTTGGGAAGAACATATAAACTCTGCACAGATAGCCAACTGGCCTAGCCGGTACTTGAACCAGTGGTCTTCTTGCTGTGAGGCAACAGTGATAACCCCTAAGCCACTGTGCCACCCTATCCTGGATTAATCTAGGAAAAAGAGGAAGTAGCAGGGGTGGATGGGGGGATTCTTCAAGGAGAAGATATACTTTATAAATAAACTTCACTAATTATTAGTTCATATCATGAGACATGACATGTGAACCTCACAAACCTTTGGAGCAAATGCAAAAGCAATGGAATATAATTGTCCCTCCTATCTAATTTGTTTCCTTCACCATCCTCCTCTTTATTGTAAAGACACTTAAGACTTAAGATTCTTAAGACCCCTTTCTTCAACTTGAGTACTAGTAATGTTTGATTTTACTGTTAGGATATATTTTCCTGTTTTTCAGAACAATTTTTTCAGAAAACATTTATTCTTCTCATATACCATTTAACAACAAAATAAAGATAATTGCGCAACAGTTCACCTCCAGTATTGCAGACTACACACAATCCTTAACCCGTAACACAGAACTGTACATCATGAATCACACCCACCAGCACATTTGACTCCATCTCCAAACCATCCGTCCCCGCAGGAGCAGTGGTAATGTCCTGGTGTGTTGACACAGGTGGCATGTGTGTCACAGTTATGACTGTTAATCTCACACTCATTAACATCTGCATTAGAACATAAGAGATTACATCATTACAAAAACCATTACCAACTAATAGGACAGCCAAAGTATTAAAATACAACTGTGTTATTAATAAAAAATATTAAACAGTCACTTGATAAAGGATTCAAAGTTGGTAAAAAAAATATTTTCAGTCAAATTAGTACAATATAGTAAACCTATCTGAGTTATGGTTTAACTGTATTCATTCATTCATTTCTTTTCAGCTTAGTACCTTTATTAATCTGTGGTTGCCACAGCGGAATGAACTGCCAACATATCCTGCATATGTTTTACGCAGCAGATGCCCTTCTAGCTTCAACCCATCACTGGGAATCATCTATAAACTTCTGACAACTTTAGCTTACCCAATTCATCTATACCGCATGTCTTTAGACTGTGGGGAAAACCGGATCAAATGCAAGTGAACACAGGAAGAACATGCAAACTCCACACAGAAATGCCAACTGAGCCATCGGAGGCTCAAACCAGTGACCTTTTTGCTGTGAGGCGAGAGCGCTACCCACTGCGCCACTGTGCTGCCTGGTTTAACTGCAATTGCAATTAAAAAGTTGTGACAAGTTTAATAATAATGTTACGCCAGGTCCTTATAATACTGATATAGGAACTACTCAAGGAACATTTTTTATTTCCAAATTTTTTTTGCCTTTTTATTAGTGATCTTCCAAAAATGTGTCCCGATGTTTTTCTTCAATTGTATGTGGATGACATGGTTAACAAGAAACCAAGAAGTGTCATCTTGATGCATTTTTTACTTTATATACAAACAAGTGTAACATATCTTGGTATGATTTTAGATGATCAATAAAATGTTTAAATCATAAAAGATGCATAAACTAATTAACTAATTAAGGTAAATAATAAAAACTTCAGAACAATAAATTGTTTAAAATACAGTATGATCTTGCTCATTGTTTTTAACATCTACGTGAAATCAAAATGTCGAATGATTATTATGCTAGACATGATAATTAGGCAATAGTTGAATTGAATGACTGATTCCTCTGGGTTCTATTTTTAGAAAACATGGTCTGTCTTTCCACTGCTATGCAGATGACACTCAAATTTACCTGCCCTTAAAACCGAGTTCAGGTGGATTGGAGACTCTTATGCCTTGCCAGTCGGATGTGAAAGCCTGATTGTCTTTGAACTTTCTAGATTTTAATGAGAGTAAAACTGAAATAATTTTGTTCGGCCCGTCAAAATTTTTACAGGAAACCACCAGTAAATCTTGGTAAATCAAGTTTTTCTGTAAAGCCTTGGGTAAAAGATCTGAGTGTTATCTTTGATGATGGCTTGAGATTTGATGAACAGATTAGCGAAATGGTTAAATCCTGTTTTTTTCAGCTTTGACTTTTAAAAACAGTCAGACCTATTTCATCTAAAAAAAAATTTGAAAACATAATTCATGGTTTCATTACTTCTAGATTGGACTACCGTAATCCACTATATTTTGGGATCAGTCAGACAGTTCTATCCCGCCTACTGTTGCTGCTGCAAGGCTTTTATCTGGTACTAAAAAATATGACCACACCACACCCGTCTCACACTCTTTGCACTGATTGCCTGTGCACTATTGTGCCACTTTTAAAATTCTTCTCTTGGTTTTTAAATCACTAACTGACCTGGCTCCATCCTACCTGTCAGATCTGTTAACTGAACATCAGCCTGCATCGGTCTCCTTGGTCATCTAACCAGAGACTGTTATGCATTGCAAAGTCGAGGCTGAAATGCAGGGGTGACCATGCTTTTGGAGTAGCTGGTCCTACTTTGTGGAATGCTCTGTCCATCCATATTTACATTTAGTCATTTAGCAGACGCTTTTATCCAAAGCGACTTACAAATGAGGACAAGGAAGCAACTTACACAACTATAAGAGCAACAATGAATAAGTGCTATAGGCAAGTTTCAGGTCTGTAAAGTCTAAGAAGGAAAGTATTAGTAGTATTAGTAATTTTTTTTTTTTTTTAAGTACAGTTAGTGTGATATCCAGAGAGGCAATTGCAGATTAGGAAGTGAAGTGGAAACTAAATAGTTGAGTTTTTAGTCGTTTCTTGAAATTAGCGAGTGACTCTGCCGTTCTGATGCAGTTAGGGAGTTCACTTTGAACTTTGAAGATTTTAGATGTTTTTAATCTGTCCCTTACAAATAAAACATTAAATTAAATAAATATACACTACCTGACAGAAGTCTTGTCGCCTACCTAAGTTTTAGGACCAATAAATAATGACTTGACTTTTAGTTGATCATTTGGTATCAGAAGTGACTTATATGAAAGGCAAAGGCTTCAAGATTATGCTTATTTTACCACAATAAAATATGACCATGCCTTAATTTACAATAATTAAGTTTTTTTCTTTGCTTAAAAGTCTTGTTACTTAACAGAAATAATATATAGTATAGAACATAATGTCATGGTGCAGTGGGAAAATAATTAATATTGTGTACGACGCCCATGAGCTTGGATGACTGCATCCATACATATCTGATAAATAACTTCTTAAAAAAGTCATCTGGAATGGCAAAGAAAGCATTCTTGCAAGACTCCCAGAGTTCATCAAGATTCTTTGGATTCATTTTCAATGCCTCCTCCATTCATCGCACCCCAGACATGCTCAATAAAGTTCATGTCTGGTGACTGGGCTGGCCAACCTAGAGCACCTTGACCTTCTTTGCTTTCAGGAACTTTGATGTGGAGGCTGAAGTATGAGAAGCAGTGCTATCCTGCTGAAGAATTTGCCCTCTCCTGTGGTTTGTAATGTAATGGGCAGCACAAATGTCTGGATACCTCAGGCTGTTGATGTTGCCATCAACACTGAAATGTTTCCTTCCCCAAACTTGACTTTTTCCTGTGAGAATCTTGGGTCTATGTGGGTTCCAATAGGTTGTCTGCAGTATTTGTGATGATAGGGATGCAGTTCGACAGATGTTTCATTAGAAAAATCAACCTCTTGCCTCTTTTCTAAATGATCAACTAGGATTCAAGTGTAACATATTGTAACCTGCATTCTGGAGATAAACATTCCATTTAACATTCCAGAAAACAATCTGGGTGAATCGCCAGGACAATAAAATCACTTGGTGACGAAAAGTCTGGCTTGGTAATCCCTTGGTGACATGTTAACAAGTCTGGGAGACTTCACAGAACCACTCTCTGCCTACTTCAAAAGAACGTGACAGATAAGATAAGAAAAGGAAAAAAACCTCTTTAGCCAACATTCTGCTCACAGATAAGACATTCCTCAAAATTAAACAAAGACATTTATAACCCAAATCTCTTGTTTAATTTCATTTAACTTTTGTAATGTGTACAATACCTGATATAGACTATACACATTCACGCTTGCAGGCCTTTTTAAAAGCATCAAGGATGTAAGGATATGGGAACTATGTGATGTACTTGTAGAGTGTTTGGTGTCAATAGAATGTCCTGGACATTTTATAACACATGATGCATAGATCGAGACCATAACTCGCATTGCTTTATTCTTTAAAGCCCTGTATTAAATGCCTGTCCGCATGCTTTAGGCGGGCGCTCAAATTTGCATACGTGCAGCCCAGAGACAAAGGAAGGTTCGCGCGCAAACTTTCCCCTGAAATCATTGGTCAGAATGCTGTACGGGTTGTCACGTGACCCGCAGGTATAAGCACACTTCCCCCCAAACATCTGGGCAGAAAGAGAACTTCCCAAAAAGGAACATCATTGACGGTGGTCCCTTTAAGGGCCACACGGCTCTTCACAGCCGCATGGACTTTCCCGCCACGTTTTCTTTATTTTCCGGCAAAGTAAATTCAGTTTAAAGTTTGCGATCGTGTTCGTCCGAACTGCATTACAAACTCCACGCATCAAAGGACATCAAGAGTAGTTTTCATCACGACGGAAGAGAGACGCATAAAAGAGACCTCCAGACATGAAAAACCAGGTGATTTTAGTTATGCGATTAAGCTGTGCCCCTTTTATCAAAAAGGTGTTTTTTATAACCTTGGTGGTCCTTAATGGTGCGTGTGGAACTGAAAGTTTTGTCACTTTTAATCTGAAATCTATATTTTCTAGCTTTACTATTTCTCTTTGCTGTTACACGTTCTATAGACCCGATATCTCCACGTGGTTTACCTTTGTTTTGTGTTTAATGTATGTTTGTGCGTTTGTTTGTTCGTTACGTCTGACTAGTCAATAAATTCCATTTATAATCAAATGAATTGTATTGTTTGCCTCACGAGAAAATGTCACTGAAATACAGATTCCCCTGCCTAGCTATTATAAGTTGTTTAAAACTTTTGAATGATTAATCTACTTCACAAGAAGTAGCAATTAAATTCCCTTTTTCTAAATGAATAGATTACCGTGTCCGCTCGGAAGAGCGGCGGCTCTGCTTGTGTTTGTTTGGTCAAATTAACAATAAATTGATCCGGAATATTAATTATTAATAATAATTCGTTATTGTTTATAATTAATATTCATAATCTGGGAATCCGCTTGGTCGCGCGAGCATGATCATTTACAATCATATGTTTGTTTGACCAAACTGACTAAAGCTTAAGCCGGAATATTAATAATTAAGAATAAACCGTTATTGTTGATTATTAATATTCATAAAATGAGCTAATTTCATGCTACATATATTGGTGGAGAGAATGCGGGCAGTTTTCCAAACATTTTTCTGTGAAACAAACTTTTCAATTCATGGTGATTTATTAAGCGCGCTATAGAAGAAAAAAAAAAAAAGGACCGCGAGAAGCATTTCCTTTTCTTAGAAACTGGGAGGACGAAAATCCTCCTCTAGCCCTTCTGTTCACTAAACACAGCAGAGAGCTGCCCGTGTAGAGTGTAACAATTTAAACTGCAGTTCATATATATTTTGAATCGATTTTGCTGAGGCGCACGTTCCGCAAATCATTTAAATATATTAGTGTGCCTGTCGGAGGAAAAGACACCTCTCTCAGTGCTTAAGACAGTTTGGAAACCCCAAACCTGTCCGTTTA